TGCCCCCTATGGTGGAGGTCAGGTCGTCCCGTGCCTCCTCAATCTGGTGTCCGTGAGGGACGGGGCAGGTCCGACCGTCCGCCGGCGCCGGTGAACTGGGACTCCTTCCTCCTCTCTCCTCCCTCCACCCTCCATCACTCATCCCCATCCATCCTCTTCTAAAAAAATTCTCTGATCATGCATATTCCTATTTTCTGTTTTTTGTGATTTGATGGTTAATAGTCATAGATTGTAGTATGTTATTACAGTATCATTAGTACTTGTTGCATATTGCTACTCTCTACGCATTTTCAAGATTATGTATGAATGGATTGGCCAGCAATGGCCCAATTTTTGTCATGGTTTATATCTTTTGCTACGTAATTGCTTGATGCGCATATTGATCGGTCATTGGCCAGTAGTACCAAGGTTAAAGTTTTTTATAGATGTGATGCCGATGATGAGTATGTACTTCCAGTGCTATGACTGGAGGTGGCACGAACACAAGCAGACCCGGTTGAAGATGAGGGGAACGAAGACAGCATGACAATATTCATAGTAGAATAGCTCATGCTTGTCTAGCAATGGCAACATAAGTTTAGCTATGTTGATGGAGGTCATCCTCATGTGAACCATACTGTGTTTTGTATGATGCATGTCTTTGTAATAATATTATGGGAACACTATCTATTTAAATGTATGCAACATCAAAGTATAGTTGTTCAATTGTGTATGTGTTAGCTATAAATCGCTTACATTGTCATATTTTTTCTGTGTAAAATGATTGTCCAATTTCCTACAAATGTACATGTCACTACTTTAAATTAGCATATAAACATATTCACTCAAGTGCCAAGGCATTACAGACAATTCACAACCAAATCTGCAGTTTTATGGTTGTTTTAACCAAACAGCCTCTAGCTTGTCTACAGTGGCATTTTCACAGCAGATCAACCCATTAAGCTACGTGTGAAGGGCGGCCAACCAGTTATGCCACGTGGCGTAAGTGGTTGGCTGCGGCGTGTAATCTTTTGAAAAAAATTTAGATGAAGGCGTGAATTATTTTTTAAAAGAGGTGAGGACCTCTGGTATTTTCTAAATGAAGGGTTGATAGACTGCAGTGGTAATTTTTTTCCTTTTTTACTTTGTGAAGGTGAGGATTTTTCTAATATGGTTTTTTAGATGCAAGGACTCTATGTATCTTTTTAAAATAGAAACATGCACATACTGTCCTCTCAAGCAGCGGCGCCACAGATGACGCTCACTTTAAACAGAGGAGAAATTTTTTTGAAGAGACGCACATACATCTTATAAGTGCACCTAAAAACAGATTAGGAGGGATTTGATTTTAGAGTTTTGTGTCTGTGCTCATGGCAGCAACTAGATGCTTTTTTGGGAGGGGCGTTTTGGCTCTCGGGTCCAGGTGATCCTGATATCTGGGCCGTCCAGATGAGCTCTGGGATCTGTGCGAGGCATTATTAAATTCGATATACCGTACTGAATAAGAGGGGAATACACAGTGGCGGGCCTTGTACGTACGATGTCAGATGACGGGCGGCACCGTCTGTGGAGTCGCCGTTAACGACGGGCAAAATGAATGCATCCCCGTCCACCAGCTTCGGCCCCTGTTTTCAGCGAAAGATGATCGAGCCGAGTAAAAATTAGAGCCGGAGGGCGGCGTCGGTGGCGGCTACATCGGCGGCATTCTCGCACACTGATTCCCTGCTCGCATCACCGGACGTGGTCTCCGATTACTGCTGGCGCAGCCGTGGCGATGGATTTTCCCGTCGCTCCGATGGACAGGTAAGAAATCAATCCTTGTACATAAATGTTCTTCGTTCCCATTTACGATCCAGCATCAAAACAAGCTTAGAGCTTCGATCCAACGTGCTCAGGTTGCCCATATTCCCGGATGAGGCGGCTAGCGCGGCGGCCCTAATTGAATTGATTGGTGGGGCTGGTCGTGCGGAAAAGGAATTAACCAACGGATCTGGCGGGGCGGTGGTTGGAGGATTTGGGCGCAGCTCAGCTGGGCAGTTCGGGGGTGGTGCTATGTGCGGCGAGGAAACAAGTGTGGCTGCCGGCGGCCCTGCCGTGTCAATGCAAACGCCGTTGACCAGGGCGGCGTTGAAGCACATTTTGATGGAGATCAGGGCGCTGTGATTCAAGATCGAACAGGAAGTGGCGATGGAGGCTCTCTGCACAATCGACTGGCAAGGTGGATCCCCAAGCCCCTGGATGGACTAAGAGGTAATTGGGATTTTCTGTAGAACTGCATTCTGTACCTTGCAACCGTAGTTGGAATGATGCCCTGTTTATTTTAGTTTGTTATGCTGGCTAGTGAATTGTCAGTTTGATAAAACCATTGTTTGGGGACTTTTTGCTGACGGCGGAGAGAGCTGCGGCCCTGAGGCCTTCTGTTGGTGGCCGGGTATCAAGCATGAGCAAGCTAGCAATGGCGACGGACTTTCCCGTACACCAATAGACAGGTAAGTGTGGCATTATCCCAGGGGCGGTGAAAGATCGTCGATGTCACTTAGAGGGGGGTGAATAGGCGTTTTAAAATAATTACGATTTAGGCTTTAACAAATGCGGAATAAACCTAGCGGTTAATTTGTCAAGTACAAATCCTAAAACAACTAGGCTCACCTATATGCATCAACAATTTATGCTAAGCAAGATAAACAACTATGTGATAGCAAGATATATGACAAGAAACAATATGACTATCACGAAGTAAAGTGCATAAGTAAAGGGGTTCGGGTAAGAGATAATCGAGGCAGCGGAGACGACAATGTATCCCGAAGTTCACACCCTTGCGGATGCTAATCTCCGTTTGGAGCGGTGTGGAGGCACAATGCTTTCCAAAAAGCCACTAGGGCCACCGTAATCTCCTCACGCCCTCGCACAATGCAAGATGTCGTGATTCCACTAAGGGACCCTTGAGGGCGGTCACCGAACCCGTACAAATAGCAACCCTTGGGGGCGGTCACCGAACCCGTACACTTTGGTAACCCATGGGGGCGGTCACCGGTACCCGTCAAATTGCTCGGGGCAACTTCAAGCTCCTCATTTTTAGTTTCAAAATCATTGGCCACCTCAAGAGCTCTATCACGAGATTCCCTCACTCTAGATAATTCTAGAGCAAAAGTCTCCTCAAGAGATTCCTTAGTGGTTTGTTCAAGTTCAAGAGCTTGAAAGAGGTCGGCAATTTCATTAGCATAATCACGCTCATAACCTTCCATTTTATCAATGGTGACCTCATGCTCCTCAAGACGAGATTCCAACTCATCAATATACTTCTTGTCCTCAATGGCAATGGACATGATTTCGATGAAGTTGGAACGAGCAATTTTATTTTTATGAAGAGCTTTAAAAATCATTTCCCCCTTAATTTTTAAGGAGGCAACATTATCATTCTCTTCATCATTATCCTCATCATCGTTAGTATCAACATCATCATAAAGGGACATATTGGGTTACAAAGTAGGAGATACCTTTGAAGCCTTAGCCATAAGGCAAAAAGCAATAGATGATGATGTAGGATCCCTTGATGCACCATTAAACATCACATCTTGTTCCATGTAGTGTTGGGTTTCCTCTACATTGTTAGCACAACAATTCGAGGAAATATATGTATTTTTATCATGGCAACAAGACATAGTACACATATCATCATAAGATTTAGTCAAGCAATTTCTACATGATATGCAAGGACTATCAACACAAGCATGTGAAACATTTGGAGTGCTCGAAGTGTTAAAGCCCAAAGAAGGATCATTGCAATAAGATAGTGATGAAGGATCATCCACAATAAGCATACTATCATCATTGCAATGACCAACACTACTCACCATATCATTACCTTGTGGCAAACCACATGTAGGTGAAGTAGAAGAAGTTGAGAAGACTATACGACCGGAGGTGGAGGGAGAACAATCATCCCCACAAATCTTGGACACACCATATTTATCTTGAAGCTTCGTCCACAACTCATGAGGATTCCGGAACGGCATGAGGTAAAATATAACTACATTGCTCAAAGCATCGAAAAGCACATTAGAAGCTTGAGCATTGAGATAAGAGTTTTTATCATCCTCTAAAGATAATCTTTGGGGATCCTTTGGAGGAGAAAAACCCATATCTACAATTCGCTCTAAATTTGGGTCCATGACCCTAAAGAGATTAAGCATGCGAATTACCCAAACATCAAAATTTGTGCCATCGAAATTAAGAGTGTCAGAGAATCCTAATCCCCTAGTCGACATCTTTACTCTCTAGGCGGTTAAGCCTAACAAAGAGGGACGAGGCTCTGATACCAATTGAAAGATCGTCGATGTCGCCTAGAGGGGGGGTGAATAGGCGTTTGAAATAATTACGGTTTACGCTTTAGCAAATGCGGAATAAACCTAGCGGTTAATTTGTCAAGCACAAAACCTAAACAACTAGGCTCACATATGTGCACCAACAACTTATGCTAAGCAAGATAAGCAACTATGTGATAGCAAGATATATGACAAGAAATAATATGGCTATCACGAAGTAAAGTGCATAAGTAAAGGGGCTCGGGTAAGAGATAACCGAGGCATGCGGAGACGACGATGTATCCCGGAGTTCACACCCTTGCGGATGCTAATCTCCGTTTGGAGCGGTGTGGAGGCACAATGCTCCTCAAGAAGCCACTAGGGCCACCGTAATCTCCTCACGCCCTCGCACAATGCAAGATGTCGTGATTCCACTAAGGGATCCTTGAGGGCGGTCATCGAACCCGTACAAATAGCAACCCTTGGGGGCGGTCACCGAACCCGTACACTTTGGTAATCCATGGGGGCGGTCACCGGTACCCGTCAAATTGCTCGGGGCAACTTCAAGCTCCTCATTTTTAGTTTCAAAATCATTGGCCACCTCAAGAGCTCTATCACGAGATTCCCTCATTCTAGATAATTTTAGAGCAAAAGTCTCCTCAAGAGATTCCTTGGTGGTTTGTTCAAGTTCAAGAGCTTGAGAGAGGTCCGCAATTTCATTAGCGTAATCACGCTCATAACCTTCCATTTTATCAATGGTGACCTCATGCTCCTCAAGACGAGATTCCAACTCATCAATACACTTCTTGCCCTCAATGGCAATGGACATGATTTCCATGAAGTTGGAACAAGCAATTTTATTTTTATGAAGAGCTTTAAAAACCATTTCCCCCTTAATTTTTAAGGAGGCAACATTATCATTTTCTTCATCATTATCCTCATCATCGTTAGTATCAACATCATCATAAAGAGACATATTGGGTTTCAAAGTAGGAGATACCTTTGAAGCCTTAACCATAAGGCAAAAGGCAATAGATGATGATGTAGGATCCCTTGAAGCACCATTAAACACCACATCTTGTTCCATGTAGTGTTGGGTTTCCTCTATATTGTTAGCACAACAATTCGAGGAAATATATGTATTTTTATCATGGCAACAAGACATAGTACACATATCATCATAAGATTTAGTCAAGCAATTTCTACATGATATGCAAGGACTATCAACACAAGCATGTGAAACATTTGGAGTGCTCGAAGTGTTAAAGCCCAAAGAAGGATCATTGCAATAAGATAGTGATGAAGGATCATCCACAATAAGCATACTATCATCATTGCAATGACCAACACTACTCACCATATCATTACCTTGTGGCAAACCACATGTAGGTGAAGTAGAAGAAGTTGAGAAGACTATACGACCGGAGGTGGAGGGAGAACAATCATCCCCACAAATCTTGGACACACCATATTTATCTTGAAGCTTCGTCCACAACTCATGAGCATCCCGGAACGGCATGAGGTGAAATATAACTACATTGCTCAAAGCATCGAAGAGCACATTAGAAGCTTGAGCATTGAGATAAGAGTTTTTATCATCCTCTAAAGATAATCTTTGGGGATCCTTTGGAGAAGAAAAACCCATATCTACAATTCGCTCTAAATTTGGGTCCATGACCCTAAAGAGATTAAGCATGCGAATTACCCAAACATCAAAATTTGTGCCATCGAAACTAAGAGTGTCAGAGAATCCTAATCCCCTAGTTGACATCTTTACTCTTTAGGCGGTTAAGCCTAACAAAGAGAGACGAGGCTCTGATACCAATTGAAAGATCGTCGATGTCGCCTAGAGGGGGGGTTGAATAGGCGTTTTGAAATAATTACGGTTTAGACTTTAACAAATGCGGAATAAACCTAGCGGTTAATTTGTCAAGCACAAAACCTAAACAACTAGGCTCACCTATATGCACCAACAACTTATGCTAAGCAAGATAAGCAACTATGTGATAGCAAGATATATGACAAGAAACAATATGGCTATCACGAAGTAAAGTGCATAAGTAAAGGGGCTCGGGTAAGAGATAACCGAGGCACGCGGAGACGACGATGTATCCCGGGGTTCACACCCTTGCGGATGCTAATCTCCGTTTGGAGCGGTGTGGAGGCACAATGCTCCCCAAGAAGCCACTAGGGCCACCGTAATATCCTCACGCCCTCGCACAATGCAAGATGCTGTGATTCCACTAAGGGACCCTTGAGGGCGGTCACCGAACCCGTACAAATAGCAACCCTTGGGGGCGGTCACCAAACCCGTACACTTTGGTAACCCTTGGGGGCGGTCACCGGTACCCGTCAAATTGCTTGGGGCGATCTCCACAACCTAATTGGAGACCCCGACGCTTGCCCGAAGCTTTACACCACAATGATTGAGCTCCGAACAACACCAACCGTCTAGGGCGCCAAGGCACCCAAGAGGAACAAGCTCTAGGGTGCCCAAACACCCAAGAGTAATAAGCTTCTTAAACTTCACTTCCACGTATCACTGTGGAGAACTCAAATCGATGCACCAAATGCAATGGCAAGGGCACACGGAGTGCCCAAGTCCTTCTCTCTCAAATCCCGCCGAAGCAACTAATGCTAGGGAGGAAAATGAGAGGAAGAACAAGAAGGAGAATACCAAGAACTCCAAGATCTAGATCCAAGGGGTTTTCCTCACATAGAGGAGAAAGTGATTGGTGGAAATGTGGACCTAGATCTCCTCTTTGTTTTCTCTCAAAAACTAGCAAGAATCCATGGAGGGATTGAGAGTTAGCAAGCTCGAAGAAGGTCAACAATGGGGGAAGAACCCAACTGAAAGAA